GATTAAAAAAGTTCTGTGAACTCTAGTTAGGCAGGAGTAATCCAAAGAAGAGCACAGCTAAACACATCTTAGCCATACTCCTGAAACCTAAAAACAGAGAAAATTGTACAATCTGACAGAAAAGCAAAAAAACTAAATTATATCTGGAAGAATAATGATTTGAACACTACTGACTTTTCATTAGAAGCAATAGAGACCAGAAGACAATGGATAAAATAAATAGAGTACTGAAAGAAAAAGCTATCAAACCAGATTTCTATATCTGGTGAAAATATCCTTCAAGAATGAAAGCAGAATTAAAGTACTTTCAGATAAAGGAAAACCAAGAGCATTTGCCACCAGCAGGTCTGCACTACAAAAAATGCTAAAGAAAGTTCTCCAGGATAAAGGAAAATGAAACCTGGTGGAAATTTGTATCTTTTGGAAGGAATGAAGAGAATCAAAAATGGCAAATATGTGAGTAACTATAAAAGAAAATGTCTTGCCCTGGCTAGTGTGGCTCAGTGGATTGAGCACTGGCCTTAAAACAAAGGGTCGCCAGTTTGATTCCCAGTCAGGGCACACACCTGGGCTGCAGGTCCAGGTCCCCAGTAGGGGGCGCATGAGAGGCAACCACACACTGATGCTTTCCTTCTTCTCTGTCTCCCTCCCTTCCCCTATGTCTAAAAATAAAATAAATAAAATCTAAAAAAAGAAAATTTCTTTACATATTAACTATGTAAGGCAAAAATTATAATATTGTCTCTTGCAGTTCATAATATTATACATGTACTGCATATGATAGGTATAGCATAAAAGATAAAGGGAGGGTAAGTGGACCTATACTGTTAGAAGTTTTCTAAACTTTATGTGAAGTGGTATAATATTAACTCTTAGAACATATATTTAATGTGCAGAAAATTAATGACTACTATGCTATGCTTCCCAAAGAGTTCACAGTTTGGTGGAAGAAAACATATGTCCAAATAATTACAACATAGTGTGGGATGTGCAAACAATAAAAATTATACAAAGAGCTTTGGGATTCCAGGCAATCAGTAATTAGCTGTCCTTGATGGTACATAAGTAAAGGCTCAGCAGAGAAGTCATATTTTGAGCTGGGCTGTGGAAGACGATTTGAAGATGAGAAGGAGGAAAAATGGTAGCTTGCACAAAGCAAACAGTGAAAGCAGAGATGAGAGGGCATTCACAGATGTGGTGCAAATGCGTTTAGGGCACCAATAGTCATCAGATTCTACCTCAGGGAGTAGCAGGAACTGTGAACCTGTCAAGAAAGGCCTCATGTAGAAAGATTGTTGTAGGAAATAATAAGGGAGATAAACGGAGACAGAGAGAACAAGGAGACAAAAAACAAACTGGGAGGTGAGTACAGAAATTCTTATAAAAGATGATGAGGGTCTGAACAAAGGCTATGGCAGTGGGACTGGGGGTAGGAAATAGTAAGAGAGGTGGTTGGAAAGCAGCATTAGCAGAACTTAGTTAAGGGACTGAATGTTGGGAGTAAGCCTCAGGGTTATGCATGTGGAAACCGATGCCACTTACTATGACAGAAGGAAAAAAAAAAACACTGGAGGAACAAATTTGGGACCCAGGGCAAGAGCTGAAGTAATTACAAAACTAAAATAGAAAGATAGAAAGTAATAGGGAGTCTCAACAAGGCCCAAAATTGATTTTTTGAAGACTTTAATAAAATAGTCAAATTTCTGGCTAGATTGATCAAGGCATAGTATAAATAAGCAATACGCAATTATAACCAGAAATACCTAGATATTTTTTAAATTCTCAGATGACAAATATGAACAAGTTTATTATACTAAATTAAAAAAATGTCAACAAAGTGGACAATGTTCTGGAAAAATATAACACACCAAAAAGTGAATCAAGGAGAATGATTGGTAAGTATTTAAGATACTGGCTTGGTAGTTTTTTAAATCTTCACTTTACTGACACCAAACCCACGTAATTTTCCAGATAAGTTTTACCAAATCTTTAAGAAACAGATCATTCCTCCTGTACAAACTGTTTATAGAACAGCACAAGACAGAAAACTGACTAATTCATTTTATAAAACTAGAAAAACCTTTTAAAAATCTACCCGCAGACATGACATACCATCTCATGGGCACGAGGTCCAGTCCACTAATGGGAGGTGATTACACAAAGGTGTGAATACCAGGAGGTGGGGGTTACTGGGAATCATCTTGAGACTGGCTACCACAATCAGAATAAAGGAGAAAAAAGACATGATTATCCTAAATGATAAACTTCGAAAAACATCAATTAAAATTTAAAGTTTATTCAGAATTAAAAAACAACACAAAGTAGGAATCGAAGAAGTTTTTACATTACTATATAGTACATTCCGAAATTGTATAGGAGACATGATACATAATGGTGAAATTTAGAAGCTTTCCCATTGAAGTCAGAAACAAGACCATAATGCCTCTGTCATTACTACTACTCAAGACTGTAGAGGAAGTTCTGGATCATTCAGTAAGATAAAGAGAAGAAACCAAAGGCATAGATTTGGGGAGAAAGAGACAACATTTTCAACATTTGTATTTTATGGATTTGTCTAAATAGAAAAATCTAACCACACAAATTGTTAGAACTAATATTGTTCTTCACAGGTGGGGACTGACCTTGGTCTGTACCACCCAGGAAGCCCCAGAACCTGCACATCCGGTGGACAGCTACAGACCACACTGGGGCACCGCTACCCGGCCCTTGCACGGCTGGTCCTCCACAGAGCGCGGAGATTGGTGATCACTGGTAACAGCCAGCCCTTGCAGCTGACTGGCCTGGGGAAATCCCTCTCACTGACCTGCCCACAACAATCAAGGCTCAACTACAACAGGAGGGTGTGCTCAGCCCACATGAAGAGTCCACCTTGAGTACCCAGCTGGGGTGATGGGGGAGGCAAACAAGAATTTGGAAATCTACTAGAAAAGATCACGAAAGGAAAGTTTCCTAATTTGGTGAAAGAAATAGACATGCAAGTTCAGAAAGCACAGAGTTCCAAACCAGATGGATGCAAAGAGGCCCCACTCCAAGACACATCATCATTAAAATGCCAGAGATTAAAAAGAAAATCTTAAAAGCAGCAAGAGAAAAGCAGTTAGTTAGCTAAAGGGGAGTTCCCATAAGACTATCAACTAATTTCTCCAAAGAAACTTTGCAGGCTAGAAGGGATTGGCAAGAAATATTCAAAGTCATGAAAAGCAGGCCCCTACAGCCAAAATTCCTCTACTCAGCAAAGTTACCACTTAGAATTGAAGGGCAGATAAAGAGCTTTCTGGACAAAAAAAATAACTAAAGGAGTTCATCATGACCAAATCATTATTACATGAAATGTTAAAGAAAATTATTTAAGAAAAAGAAGATCAAAACTATGAGCAATAAAATGGCAATAAATACATATCTGTCAACAATTGAATCCAAAAAACAAACTAAGCAAACAAGAAGAACAGAGACAGAATCGTGGCTATGGAGAGCATTTTGTTGATTACCAGGTGAGAGGCGGTATAGGAGAATGGGTGAAGAGATGAGGGGACTGAGAAATACAAATAGGTAGTAACAGAATAGCCATGGGGATGTAAAGTACAGTATAGGAAATGGAGCAGCCAAAGAACTTACACTCATGACCCATGGACGTGAATAATGGTGTGGGGACTGCCTGAGGGAGTAAGAAGTGCTGGTGGAGGGGGCAAAGGGGGAAAAATTGGGAAAACTAATGCCATAATAGTAAAATATATTTAAAAATAAAACTAGCCACTTCAAAAAAAACTAATATTGTTCAGAGGAGTAGCAAGTACACTTTCCACAGACTTACAGAAATCAAAATCTTTGCTATAAATCATTTGCAATCAATTAAAGTGTGTCATTTTAAAAAACTCCATTCAAGATAAACAAAAATGTAAGGTAGTTGAGGTTAAAATAGGTGCTAGAAAAACTTTAAAAACATTTCAAGAGACATAAAGGAAGATCAAATAAAAAGAGATGAATTAGTTTCATGGGTGGAATGACTCAGTATTTTAAAGACGTCAATTAGTCTAAATTAATCTATAATTTTAAGCTATTCCAAATAAAATCCCCAAGGTAGCTATGAATAGTATCAATTTAGCTAAGTACAAACTTTGTTACCCAGACTTCCCTTCATTGAATGGCCCTGGGTTAGGAGGGGCCATAAGACGAATTTGTTGACTGACAGCTGTTGAGGGTAGAGGGTGTTGGAGGGCTAGATGAAACAGGTGAAAGGATTATGCAAAGCAAATAAACAAAAACAAAACTTACAGACACAGACAACAGTGTGGTGATTACCAGAGGGAAAGGGGGGTGGGTACAAGTAGAAGAGGGTAAATCGGGGATAAATGGTGACGGAAGGAGACTTGACTTTGGGCGATGATCATACAACACAATATATAGATGATGTATTATAGAATTGTACTCATGAAGCCTATATAATTTTATTATCCAATGTCACCCCTGATAAATTCAGTTCAAAATATATATACAATATACAAAAATTATATAGGGGGACCCCCAAAATGGAATTATCTTCTGGAGGGCAAGCCCCTTGTAGTACAGGCTTCCCTCACTAGGTGAGTGTTCTAGGAACCCAGCTGTATCAGCTGATATTGTTGTGAGAGGCTGTGTTTGGCTTCAGTAAATATTTTTTGAGGACTCTTTAGATGTATCTGTCAATTTCATGATGGTGGTGATTTATGTACAGGTGTTCAGTAATTTTTTTTAAGATTTCATTTATTTATCTTTAGAGGGGAAGGGAAGGAGAGAGGGAGAGAAACATCAATGTATGGTTGCCTTTCATGTGTCCCCTGCTGGGAATTGGTCTGCAGGGAACTGGTCTGCAACCCAGGCATGTACCCTGACTGGGAATCGAACCTCGATTGTCTGGTTTGCAGGCCCGTGCTCAATCCACTGAGCTACACCAGCCAGGGCTCTGTTCAGTAATTTTTGATCAAAAAATGGCGTGACCTCTGTGCCTCTCACTCCTCATTCACCTGATCTTGCCCCAAGCGACTTTTTGTTTGGGTTCCCCTGGATGAAAAAAGTCTTCTAAGGGAAACATTTTGCTGATATGGAAGAGGTGAAATAAACAAACAAAAAACCCAGCAGAAGCACTAACAAGCATCAAAATCAATGACTTAAAAAACTGTTTCGAGCAGTGGAAAAAAACATCTCAGTGGGTATATTGCATCAAATGGAGAGGACTTTGAAGGTGACTAAAGTTTAAACATGTAACAATACACAATTTTTTGTAAATAAATTCTATTTGGGGGGGTCCTCCCCTTATACATATATATGAGGTCTGTCCAGAAGGTATCCAGCCATGTAATATGAAAAACAGAGACACTGAAGAAGATACAAGACCCACTGTACAGAGGACAGTGATGCCTCAGTCCCCTTCAAAGTAGGCACCTTGGGACCTCCCACAGTTCTTCCAATCACCGTAAACTGCCCCACTGTATTTTCCTGAATCTCATCAATGGTCTGAAATCTCTTGCCTTTCAAAGGTGATTTTAGTCTTGGGAAAAGCTAGAAGTTTCAGGGTGACAAATCTGGCTGTAGGGGGGCTGAGTCACCTGGCGGATTTGATGTTTTGCCAAAAAATTCTGCAGGAGATGTGATGGGTGAGTGGGTGCATTGTCATGATGAAGCTGCCGATCACCGGGTGCCCATAGCTGTGGCCTGGTGAATCATCTGGAGAGTTTCTGTGGAGGAATGTTCAAGCTTAACACAAAACTGGATGCAGATTAGTCTCTCTACTTGCTAAGTCATTTTGAATACAATAGCCACACAATACCCATGCACACTCAACAGCATCTACCACCTGCTCTGAGTAGTACAATGAAGTTGTCACTGTTCATGCATGCACATTCCAGTCCACTGTTCATAATTTGTACCTCGGCTGACAGGTTACATCCACGTCGCATAAACCATTCTCAGTACATTAACAATGGCTGGACTTTCTCTGAACAGACCCCACCGTGTGTGTGTGTGTGTGTGTGTGTGTGTGTGTGTGTGTGTGTGAATCTGGTTAAGGATTAGAAGGTGGAGGTGAAACAGCAGTCATTTTTTATGCTCAGGTCAGTCTAGGACCAGGCTCTGTTGCAACACCTGCAGTAGCAGCTGGACTAGCTCTGTGTGACAGTTCTGTGACGACAGGTGCCACCTTTCAATGCTTTCTAAGGCATTCTGCTGAACAGGTCATAGATTAGTGGGAGTTGGAGCAAGGAGGGTGTACAAGGCTGACACAGATGTTCTCCAGGGACCTACAGTGCTTATGGGAACCTTCTTTGGATCACTAAGTGAAGGCCGCTGCCAGCTCTCAGCTTCCAGCTCCTTGAGTCCCGTGTTTGTTGTTGAAAAGGTTTATGACTTTTGCCATGGAGACACACTTCCATATTGCAAGGTCTATAATGGGAACTTGGATCTGACTTGAAACTAAGAGAATCAGCTGACCTGAGAAAGTTGTTTCTTGGTGTTAGAGTGATTTCTGTGCATTAGAAATTGAAGTAGCAATGTGAGTGAGGCCACCATTCAGCCCAAGGTACTCGAACAGTGGTTTAGGATATCGGTGCTCTCATAGTTCATATTACCATGCTGCATCTAAATGGAAATTTTACTCGACGTGGCCACTTAAGGGAGAATAGCATGTCCAAGTTATTTAAAAAAGAGAGCCTGTCTTCTCTTGAGCACTCTTATGCTTTATGTTTTATAAGTGCCTCGTAACCTAAAATGGAGATGAGCATTACCACTCTCACACCGTGGATGAAAAGTTGGGGCACACATTCACTGCCTTTCACCTTGCAGGGAAGTGGCTGAGCCATTCAGGGTCACAGTTCTCCTTTCTGCTGCTTATTCCACGGGACAGATGATCCTGTGGTCAGTGAGTTAAAGCTCTTGGGTTCTATGACTGATGAGACAAGTCTGTTGGTGACCTTGAGCGACTTTCTTATTCTCTCTGAATGTTTGTTTTCTTGCTGGAAGTCTGGACAACAAACCATACTTCCGACTGTATCTTTTTAAAAGAAAAAATTAGGAATGATGGGTTGCCATTAAATCAGAGGTGAGGGATTCCATATTCCGTAGAAGCACAGAATCTCCAGGGCAACAGACAGGGTGGTCCTGCAATTTTGCCTCACAGGGTAATTAGTGAAAGAGTTAAAAAATACAGAATATTGAGTCTTATTATACTGAAATGGAAAATACCAATGTGGGGACAGGGCTCTTTATTTTTAAAAAAACTGCTTACTCCAGGTGGTCTGGTGCAGCTTTAGAAACTGTGACTGAAGTGGCACCACTGTAAATGCGTGGGAGCGGGGACATGTTCTGCTGAGGGGACAGGTATGCACTTTAAGTAAACAGGCTGTGAGGTCAGAAATGCAATTCCCTTAACAGCAATTGAGCAGATGGGAGACGGACTGAGCAGAGGTGCTGGGAAACCCTGGACTCTGTTTTCGCCAAATAAGTCTTCCGGCTTAAGTATGGAAGCTGGAAAGAGCCTTGAATTGAGCGAGGCTCAGCATCGGCCTGCTGTGTGATTCCAGGCAAACCACTATGCTTCTGTGGGCCTCAATTTCCTATCTGTAAAGTGGGAGGGTAGATTTGTTGATTTTTAAGTTGCTTCTATAACACTTTGAGATTTACCTCATGTCCCTTTTTGATGCAAACATGCTATAAATACTAAATGCTGTCATGACCTTAATTTTATAACATAATGCTTTATGGACCCACTGCTTGTTCCACTGAACCCGTTTGCAGGCATGGGTGTCCCTGAGCAGCATGACTGCTGTGCCCAGCCACTGAGTCCATGCAATTGCCCACAGTAATTAAAGCATTCCGAGATGATTCTCTGCCATCTGAGGCTGGGAAAGCAGCTTCCAAGAAAGTAAGTTTCAGGGAAGGGAGGCAGAAGTCTTCACTGCAGAGGCATTTCGAAGAAAAGGTGGTTTCGTTTAGAGCGAGGTCAGTATCCTACCAGACATCTCTGCCCCAGGTGAAGGTAATTCTATCTGCTGCCTGTCGCTTCAGAAAGTGACCAGAGAAGGCTTCATCGACTGGCCAAGACTGAATGCTTTCCAGTCCGTGCTCAGCTCGCCCCTGGGTCACAGCTGCTGTTGGCAGGAGAAACGTGTAATGGCTACAGTTGCTGGCACCCGGGTTGGCCTCTCAGGCCCAACAGTGGCCAATGAGAGGAGGCCTAGTAAAGAAAGACTGTACTGGCCAGAAATGATCGAGTGTTCACCACGAGTGGAAAGGAACCAGAAGAGAACTGTTTAGGTAAGAGAGCCCAAGGCTGAGGAGCTAACTAATATCAGCTTTCTGACTTCAATAATGGGCTCCAGAGACATCACTCTTCCCCCTCCTCTCTCCCCTGCTCCAAGTCACTTACCAGCTGGGCTGGGTGGACTCTCACCCCCTGCTCTTATGTCATCCCAGAGGTCTTGGAAGCAGCTGGTCGAGGGACAAACTTTAAGGATTGTGAAGTTCTTGTAGGCGTCCATAAGAAAAAAAGCACCTAATAATAAACATGTGCAAAACTTTTTTTAGGGGTCGTGTATTATTTAAGGACTATTACAATCTTGAAAAAAGTACATAGATATAATGGTGAAACATTACCCACACACTGAAAAACTTACAAAATAGAAAAGTACAGCTCTGTGATTGATCCCAAAGCAAGCCTCAGTGTGACTGTGACCGCAGGCTGGAACCAGGGGTGGGGGGCCACGGCCAGCCCCCCAGAAGCCCCTTTCATGCCTTTTCTCAGATGCCGTTGTCTTGTTTTCCCACCTTCCCTCCTTCACGAGAATCACCGCCCTCATGTAAGTACTTCTGAAAAAACCCACACATTTGCAAGTTAATACAAAATAAAAGGAAATCTGCCTTATTTTCCCTCTTTCACTTTAGGTTAACTTCTCCTCCTCTTAGCCTGACTGACTTTACGGGGCCCCCAAATAGTCATTTGGTTCCATACATACAGTAGTAACAGAGCTGTGATCTGGGCCACCCTCTGTTCTGTGTTGGCATAAACTGAACTCTCGTCTTCATCAATTAATCACCTCTGTAACTTTTTGTAGCTTATACAGCTGTGTGTTTACAGAAAGTCCATTTATCTTGAGAGAGGTATTTGCTTTTGTGTAAACAGTGGTGAGTACACTCTGAACCATTTAAAGAGAGGGAGAAAAGAAAAGGATAAATTGTTGAGCCTAGAATCTAACATTTACTTAGTTAGGTTCTGAGTGTTTTCACAGGCTTGAGGAATTATTTATCCATCCATCTTCCTAAAACTGCTGTTCTTTTTCTTAAAAAAAAAACAAAAACCAAAAACCAAAAAATCCCAGGCTATTAGAATTGTAGGCTCCAGCCACTTCTGATACATAGGACACTTTCATTCATCAAGAAAGAAGTTTTGGATGGAGAGAGGATCTACCTAGAGGAGAGAGTGGATGGCCCAGGCGTTTGGTGCACTACAGTGAGCCACATCAGGAGAGAGTTGGACAATGGAGCAGGGTGTTATGAAGATTCGGAAAGGCCCAAGAACTGGTGAGAAGGCAGCAGCTCCCCTCTTCTGCAGCTCTGAAGGCAGGCTGAGCCAGCCTCTCCAAGTTCATGTCAAGGTTTACAAGGGTCAGCATGTTTGTGCTGGCCTTGATATTTCCACAAATTGCTCTGTAGTTGTTTTTATTAGTTTTATTCCAGCTGTTGCTCCAGAACCCTTCTGGCAGCTGGGCCTTCCAGGCTAGCTTGGAATCCTTTGCAAATCGACTCAAGTCACGAAAAGGTGCCATCAGCTTTGAACCCTTGCCTATTCCAGCGCTGGACAAATCGCAGGCATGCGCCACAGGAGAAGCAGTAATGAGCCTTCCACCTCCAAGTTGGCAGTGCAGAACTCTGTGTGGTCAGGCATGAAGTGCAGAGGTCAAGTGCAAGCCCAGGGGGAGGGTTTGAAGGGTAAACAGGCCCGAGAATGTGCTTCCTCCTGGGCCCTACGGGACGCCAGACTTGGGAGGAGGTGTCAAAGCATCCCTGTCAAAACCCTGCAGTTAACAACAACACATGACCCAAACAAATTCACAGATATCTGTTACTCTGCGCCCTGTGTTTTCATTTCACACCAACCAGTTCTCCACAGATGAGCCTCAGCTTGGGAAGGACTCGGGAAGAGGCCTCCGAGATTTTTCCTGTGAAACTATTAGTTTTACCCTACTTCATAGAGAGAAAATATGAAAAAGCTTAAGGAAGGTGAAGAAGAAGGGCCACTGTTACCATGATGTAACTGGTGGGTATTGTTGTTTGAAACACTTTCTCGTTTCACGTTTATTATTTAAAGTTACGCCAAGGGCAGTGTCAACAGAGCAAAATTTTATTGACTTTTGTGAAACATCCCCCCACAGTAGTATTTTTAAAAAGAGTTATATCGACTCCCAGGTCCTCCAGTACAGTGTATGATCAGCTTACCTTTCTTTGATAAATTCTGATACTTGAAAATGGACCCAAGTCCAAGCATATGTGTTAAAGATGGATCTTCGTTTTTGAATCTTCATCTGTGGATATGATTATTGATTTTAAAGAGAGAGAGAGAGAGAAACATGGATGTGAGAGAGAAACATAGGTCAGTTGCATCCCTTAATGCCCCAACTAGGGATTGAACCTGCAACCTAGACATGTGCTCTAACTGGGAATTGAACCCACAACCTTTTTGGTGTATGGTATGCTCCTCCAACCAAGTGAACCACCCACCAGAGCATGGTTATATTTTAAAGAGGGGGTCAAGTAAGTTGCTATTTGTCCATCAGGAGAGATGAATCACTAGTGGAAATCAGAAAACAGCCTGTTTACTAAGGCTTGGACAGATTGGCTCAAAATGTACCCCTCATGTTGTTGGGAGTGGTAGGTGGGGAATAGTGGCAAATGGAGAAAGATGTTATAAATTAAAACAGGTTTAAGAGACATATCAACACAATGCAACATGTAGATTTAGTTCGAATCCTGATTTGGAAAAACCAACTGTGAAACAAACAAAACACAAGACATTGTGGAAAATTAGAATACTGACTATATCTGATGAAATTAGGGATTTATTTCTTTAAAAAATTTAGCCATAAGAATGGTATTGTGACTATAGTTTTTAAAGAGGAGGTTTCATCTCATCTTTTAGAGCTATATACTGAAGTATTTACAGGTGAAATGATATGTCTGAAATTTGTTTCAAAATAATCCAAAGAGTCAGGGTGGGCATCAAGTGTACGGCTTTGGGTGGGGGTAAAAGAGAAGGTAAAATGGGTCTCGAACTGATAATTGTTGAAGATGAGAGATGCAAGGGTTGTGGGGTTTTTGAAATTATTTTTTCTACTTCTCCATGTTGAACATTTCCATTACGCAAAATTCAGAACAAAAGGCTCGAGTGGGCTCTCGCGTTTGTTAGCTTTCATTGGTAGGGGAGGAATCAAGGATTTCCTCTTCAATTGGGCATATAATTTTTACCTTTATTCCATTTACAACCAAGGAAATCTCACTGGGCTTGTTCTAATCGTGTGATTCATTGATTACATGATTCTGTGAAAGTGTGTGGTCAATTGATACACTGACTATAACAATCATCATTGCTGGCCCAAGTTGGGGGTGGACAGAGGCAAAAAAGGAGGGGACCGCTTTCCACTGGGCAGATGTTGGTATTTTACTTACACAAAGTCAGGGACTTGGTCTGGATATTTGTAACAGCATGGGGCAACGTGGAACGACAGAATGTTATGCTTTGGGGCACTTAAATAAATAAATGTAGGTGGGTTAAGTTATGGTTTGTGTGATAAAGCTCATTTTAAAGGAACTCTACATTCTAAGCTCAAAAATAATTTGTGCCTTAGGCTGGATTTCCAGTGTCATTGCGGTGTATTAGTTATCCAGGCTGTGTAACAAATTCCATCAAAGAGTGTGACTGAAAACCATGAACATTCATCCTCTCAGTTTCTTAAGGATCAGGAATCTGAGTGTGGCTTCCCACACTCAGAGTGGCTCTGAGTGGGAATAGATATTTATGAAGTGGGGAATAGATATTTATGAAGTACCTACTATGTGGCTCTGAGTGGCTCTGAGTGGCTCTGCCTCGGAATCTCTCGTGAGGCCGTGATCCATGTGCTGCCTGGGATGCAGTCATCCGAAGGTCCGACACGGGGGAGATCCACTTCCGATCTCATTCATGCAGCTGTTCTCGGGCCTCCAACCTGTTTCGAAGGTCACTCCTGTGGGCCTTTCCACAGGGCTGCCTCATGACACCGCAGCCAACTTCTCCTAGAGCAAGTGAACCAACAGGGAGCTTGAAAGAGAGCAGCACACAGAAGCTACAGTCTTTTGGTAACACAATTTTGGAAGTGACAGCTCACCTCATTCTTTAGAAATAAGTCACCACTTTAACCCTCAAAGTCCTACATCTGGGGAACCCCCTCAGATCTGGGCAAACCAAGATGACTGGTCACTCTAAACCTAGCCTACCCTCAAAGGAAGGGAGTTACACAAGGGCATGACTTCCAAGAAGTGGGGATCACTATGGGTCATCTGAAAGGCTGGCCAGCACAACAGTCATGCTAAGGTTTAGTTTTCTTCATTACTGAGAAATGAGGCCGGTGAGGCATTTTGTAATTCATATCTCAGAATTTGTGCGTCAGTTTTTTAATGATATGAGGAATTATATTAAAGTGAATTAAATAAATGCATAAATCTACTTTAGAAACAGAAGTTCATTTAGAGGGGGCAGTGATAATGAGATTCATTACATATATATTTCTGTCTGGTCATTATTTCAAAGCAAATACTGATGTTCGCATACCAGCCCTCTCTTTTGCTTTGATTCCTAGAGCTCCTGGCCATATTTATTGCCTACTTTTAAAGAAAAGTTAATTTTTTAATGATAAGACTACACGCTTTATTATAGACTACTTGGAATCTACAAAAATGTGATATGAAGCAGAAAGGAAAATGCCTGAAGATTTTTGCTTACTTCCAGACCTTTTTTTATATTGATACTTTGTATTTAACCTTCTATGTACTGGTACTGTACATGTAACATTGAATCCCACTTTTCCCCATTAATTTGTAAGTATTTTCTATCTTATCACAAATTCTTCATTGATGTGTGTGTGGCTTTTTTGTGGCTACATGTTTTTTCAATTAATAGGATGCACCATGATTTCTTGTACATTTCCCCTATAGCTTAATATTACTTAAGGATAATTTAATTATTTTTAATATTAGAACATATTTAAATATTTTAAACCCAAGTTTGAAATTGAAAATTTTGACTGACTCAAAAGGAAAGTCAAATCATTTATTCATTTAAGCAATAGATATTTATGAAGTACCTACTATGTGCTGGACACTATGGTCAACACTGAGGATATAGAATTGAGCAAGAAAAACCTGCTTACTTTTTAAATCTCTTGGAACTTGGTGGCTAGTGGGTCAGTAGAATGAAGTATCATCTTTTTTTCCCACCAGTGTGGGCTTAATTGCCTTCTTTGGTTCTCTATTGGTGTCTCCTCATGACTATCTGACCTCTCACATTTCATGGAAATTGTCCATGTACACAAGTTTCTTCCACTACACTGTAAGGGCAAGAACCATATTTTTGTTCACTCTTTGTAAAAAAGAAAGAAAAAGAAAGAAAGAAAGAAAGAAAGAAAGAAAGAAAGAAAGAAAGAAAGAAAGAAAGAAAGAAAGAAAGAAAAGAAGAAAGAAAAATTAAAAAGAAAGAAAAGTATTGATGACTCCCCATATGTGAGGCTTTCTGCAATGTCCTTGTTCAGAAATCTAGAATATCTCTGCTCTTCTGGAGCTTCTAGTCTGGTGGGATGATCGACAAGTGAACACACAAAAAGGGTTATACACTGAGGTAAGTGCTGTGAGGGAAATAAAGGGTGCTGGGAAGGAATAACAGGAAACATTAGTTTGGTTAGGCTAATTAAGGAAGGCCTGTTTAGGAAAGACAGTTGAGCTGAGCTGAGACTTGGAGGAAAGGGGCCAGACATTCATGTGAGAACCAC